CCCACCCACCTCAGCTGATCCATCCCGCCCCGCCTGCCTGGTTTGTGTTCCTTCTTCCCTCCCAGGTCTGCGTGCACATATGTGGGTGCATCCCTGCTGAAGGAGCTGTCCAAGCGGACCACCTTTGTGCGGGTGACGCAGCAAACCAACCCAGTGTTCGACCAGAGTGGGGCGGGGGAGCCGCCCAGAAAGAAGACCAAGACCGATGGCGACGTCAACGGCTCATGAGAAAGCCATACCAACCTGGACACACTCTGTCTGTCTCCCCTTGCTTTTTCCTCGGTTTTCCTCCTTGCCCTTTGCTGTTGATTGATGCGATGCATGGGTGGGTGTTTTCGCAGCAGCAGAATAGCTAGGGGAGCTACATGTGGTTTGCTACGCATATACTGTATTCTTCTTGTGTTTTCTATCTCTCTTCGTCGCATGACTCTTGTTGATGCTTTGTTTCCTCGCGCTGCTTGCGCGTATGCATGGGAGATTTTCGGCGGCCTCTCATCTCAGCCACCACGTCGTTTGAATGAAAAATGGTGTCAGTCAGTCAGTCAGTCAGTCGACAAGCGACACAATGCTCAAAAGTCCAGCACTCCCGGCCCCTCTCTGCCTTCACCACAGGCACCCACCCAGCGATGTCACTCCCACATCAACCAATCAGTAGATCTGCAGCACACGCACGGTGCTGTCCGCACCGGCAGTAGCGATCTGACGATACATACCAGGGCGGAAAGGAGAGAGAGACACCAGATATGTAAGTGGCTGTGTATCTCGTGTGTGATTGATTGATGTGGTGGGTCAACCAACCAACCGCTGAGTTGTCGGGCGAGAAGTCGACTGTGAAGCATCCCTTGGCCATACCCGTGATCAAACCAAACGCCTGCTCGTCCACAGACAGAATGGGATGGATGGACAGGCCGGTAGCAATTTATTGTGTGTTGAGAGGCGTCACTTGCATCAGCCAGCACTTACGACGTTGAAGCATGTGCGGTCGAAGAACTGCGCCTCTCCGGGCATTCCGCCGCTCCCGCCACCAGCGGCGATGAGGCGGCTCTGGGGGTCCTGATAGCAGTGAAGATGATCATGGACATAGAGAAAGGGAGACATGCACACACGTGCACACACAACAGGCCATTCATTCTGGTGTATCCGACTTACTTTGCTGAATTGCGCCGAGTAGAGAGGACAGCCCTCATCGGCAGGGGTGCCGTCCTGATGCACAAGACACACACGCGCCGCGCCCACATGCGTGTGTGTCTCTGTGTGTCCTTTGCTCACCCACCGGTTTCATCCATTCAATCAGGTCGGTGCGCTTCAGGGAGCCAACATCCCACAGCTTCAATTCACGCAGGCACAGCAACCCATCCATCCATCCGGGTATGCCCGCCCTCTCCTCTTCTCGTGTGTGTGTGTCTCACGCACCTCGAGGGCCTCCTTGGAGCGATGCGAGCCTGTCAGAATGGTCTTCCCTGCACACACCCAGCCAGCACACACACAGCCGATCCATGCCATGCAGTCAGTATCGACAGCACTCAGGCACAAACAATATCAGAATATGTTGTGTGGTGAGCACTGGCTGACTGACCGTCTTCCGAAATGTCAACAGCGTCTCCCTGAATGTCAGGCCCGTGAATCGATCGGACGGCTCGGCTCAGGCGGCAGTCCCACAGCTGGACCGTCTGGTCCCACCCACCCGTCACTATCACGTTGCTGAGCGATTTGATTGCATACACACGAGACAAGACACGCGCGTGTGTGTGGATGCTTCGATGGGGTATGTATGGTACCCTATCCCCCGACCTACCTACCTGTCTTGTGGGTGGAACTTGAGGGCAAAGACGCGCAGCGAATGGCCCACTGCCGTCGTGTAATCGCTGCATGGCATGTACAAAGGAAGCAAAGCACCACATGCAGTCAGTTTTGCCCTGTCTGTCTGACTGTCTGCTTTAGTTAACTCACCCGCCCTTCATGACCTGCTTGAGCTGACGCGTCTCCTCATCATACACACTGATCTGACACACACACGTACGCATGCAGCGATGGATGTCTCTCCAGGCGTGTGTTGTGTTGCGTGTGGTGGTCATTTCTTTGTCGTCACCTGTTTGAGTTTGCCGGCGGCTGCGAAGGTGGTGGCATCCTTGGTGTAGTCCATGCAGTAGAACTGCTCCTCGGGCGACCACACCTCGCTCAGCAGCTTGGACGACGCCGCATGCCACTGCTGAATCTTGCCCTGCGCGTCTGTGTGTGTGTTACCAAGACACGTACACGTACATTCGGTGCTCTGTCCTGTGCGGGTCTGTCTGTCTGTCTGTCTGTTATCTGGTGTGTCTTGTCTTACTGACTGTGACGACAACGTTTCTGGTCTTGCTACTGGTGGCAAGGTGCGGCCGCCACCGCACTTGCATGCACGGCAGGTGCTCCGGGCCACCTGGTGTGGATGGACGGACCCCATCCATATACGCGAAAGACACATAGACAGTCACCCCCGTCGTCACTGTCCCTTCAGTTTCCGTCCGTGTGTGCGCCTCGCCTTACCGGTGTGTATTGGGGCCGCCTTCTCCTTGCCAGTCAGGCTGGCGTAGACCTGCAACACACACAAGACATGACGACGCAATTAATTAAGACATGGACTGCACGTGATCATGACAATACGGACACAAGGCCCGCCTGCCCCTCTTCATTCACGCATGTAAGTAAGTGTTAATTGTGACTTGCCTTGACGACCCCATCGGCAAACGCCGCAGCAATGAGGTCCCCTTCGGGTGAGAACCGGAGCGAGTATATCTCCAGGCCGGTCCCCACACGTCCCGGCGCCGGCTGCCGCACAAACGTCGACACATCCGAATCCTCACCGGCAGACTCGCTGCATACCAAAAGAACACCGGACACACACGTGGTGCATGCGGTGCGGTGGATGGATGTCGTCGGTGTCTGTCTGTCTCCTTTACTTGATGATGAACCTCGGTCCTATGCGGTAGGACGAGCGTGTGCTCTGCGGTCTAGCCTTGTGCTCCTCGGCTCTCTTTCTGGCTCTCTCCTGGCTGGCGGCGTCGGCCTCCTCCTTGGCCGCCGCCTCGTCAGCCATGGCGTTGGCCACCTGCTGCAGATGCTGCTCATACCTACATGTATGTCAGTCAACAGGCACATACACACAAATGAATGGATGGATGGGGCTGGTGTGTATGTGAAGGAGGCGGCTCGAAGGAAGAGTTGCGCTCACTCGTCTGATATCATTTTGGTGTCTTCAAATCGGTTCTGCAAGACTGGGGGTCACAAGCGAGCTTAGCTTTGGGAGATCCGAGGGAGCGGCGCGTTCTTCCAATTGTTTCGTTCCCTCCCCTCCGTCGAGACCTGTACATGTGTGTGCCGTTCAAGATCTCCATGTACGTGTCTTTGACTCATTTCTGTCTTCCCTTGTGCGGTTCTCCCCCATTCCCCTACTTCCCCCTCCCAGCCCCCTATAGCGTTAAGCACCGCTGCATGCATCATTCCTCAGCTGACTGACGTGTGATGTCTGCCTGCCTGCCTGCCTGCCCTTAAGCGTCCTTCGGACGCAAAAAGATCGACTGGACGAAAAAATAGCTGGAAAACGCTCGTGTGGACCCCGTAATGCATACATAACATGCCTGCATGCTGTGGCGGAATGTGGCACTGGTCCCGCTGGCTGGTGTGTTAAACAAAAACGATGTCCATGTGTGTGTGTGTGTGTCTGTCTGTCAAAGTAAGTGTCTGTGGAAGTGAAAGTGTGCGTGTCTGTTGTGTGGATGTGTGTGGATGTGTGTGTCATCTTCAGTAGCCTCTGCATTGGAAACGCGTGCCTCCTGCAGACAGAGACACAAAGGCAACACCACCAAGTCAGTGTCCTTGTCTCTGCCACATGTGTGTGCGGTGTGCCTTACTGCATCGTCCTCTGACGGCCACGGCATTGAATCGCTGGCGCCGGCCCACATCCACTATCCCGCCACGGTCATACATCTGGTCCCACACATACACAAAGAGACACCCAATGGCAACATCTATCCATCCATCCATCCATGCCTCTCTGCTCGTGTGTGGGAGTCAGGGATGAATCAGGTCAGGCAGTGTGTCTTACACGTCCGCTGTTGAAGTAGATGTTGCCCGATCCCGCCCCAGTGCCGAACCGCGATCGTCTCTGGAGAGCTCTGTCGTCAGTGCTGTCCGCTGCAGGCACCAACTGGTCCTCAGCTACGTCACTCTTCTCATCTAGACACAGGCGGACGCACAAAGCAATAAGAAGAGACAGACATAGAGGAGAGACTTAATGATCGCCTCTCTCCGTCACATCAAATATATGTATACCGGTGTTGGCTTTGTCATTGTCGACGTCGCGCACGAGGAAGTTGTCTTCGTCAGACAGGGCTTCGTCAAACGCTGGGCCCTGACCAAACATACAGGGGCGGGTAGAGGCTTGAGTGGAGCGGCTGGGGTACATACCTTGAAGATGGCCAGGGGTCTCTTGTAGAACAAGGGGCCAGCCTCGTAGAGGTTGGCACCCTGGGGCATCATCACCAGCTTCTCACCTGCAGCCAGACAGCCAAAGAGACAGGAGACATACATGCAGCAGCCGAATGTGTCCACGTCCGTTTCCCTGTGTGTCTCCGTGTCTTGTCGCGGCTACCTGAGAAGAAGTGCATCTCCACCAGTTTGCGGTCGACGTTGCGCGTGATCTCGGCGACCTTGTAGAACTTTTCAATGTGCTGCACGGACGCACATATAGACACATACACACATACATTCATTCATCCGTATACGTACACGCACACATGAAAGATGCGTACAGGCATCAATCAATGAGCCAGGTTGCAGTGTCTGTGCCGTGTGTCCTCACTCACCTCTCCGGCGAGCGTGAAGGTGAGGAAGAGCGACTCCGCCTTGTAGAGGTCCGCCAGCGGCATCTCGAGGAAATCAAACATCTCCAACTCGTCATAGGCTTCCTTCGTGCTCACCTGCACCAGCACAAGCGAAAAACCGACACAAACATGCACCGGCTGGCTGCGTGTTTCTTGCGCATTTTCTTTGGATATCAATGGTCCTCACTGGCTCTGGGTCGGCCTTGCCGCCGAACCAGCCGCCACCAAAGGCGCGCATCAGCCTCCCCTGAGGGCCCACAGACAGGTCCTGCATCATGAAGAGACACGAGACACGCCATTTTACCGTCTCCTCCCTTCCAATCCAACATCAGCCCCACCTTGGTCAGCTCGTTCGATGCGATGACCAGCGAGAACAGGATGGCCACCGTCACGAGGTACCCGATGGCGCACAGAGCGATCAGAGGGGCCTTAAAGGTGCGGCTCGTGGAAGTGTTCAGCTGGCGGTAGGCCGATATGGCGTCATCGACGGACACCTTGCCGTCACCAGCCTTGTCGTGGAGGAGCTGGGAGAACTGGCACTCTTCGTTGCTGACACGGTACTGCGCCTGGGGGGCGTCGATGCTGACTTCCTTACCCGCCATGATTCGGCCACGAGAAAACGCAAAAAACCTGAGACTGGCCACCTGCGCCCCCACCTGTTTGGGGCCGATGGATTCGAGCTCGCAGACGAAACCGAATGCTTCGCCTCGTGTTTGCGCTCGTTGCATCTCTCTGGGGGGTGCTCGGCTCATCATTATATCAGCGGCAGCGGCACCCTCTCGCACAGCCGCTGATCACCGACAACCATCAGCGTCACCGAAGACACCCCGCCTCGGTCCGCAGGCACACAAGACCGTTGAAAGCGCTGATGGAGGCACTCAGAAGAGAGCAAGAAACAAGAAGATCTGCAGATGCATCCATTGCGGCAGCACCGGCGTCAGCAGCATCGATAGATCAGCAGCAGCAGCAGCAGCAGAAGGGCGCCCTGCGGACATTCCTCATCGGTCTGGGCTCTGGTGCGGTGGCTGGGACGGTGGTCGACCTCGTCATCTACCCCATTGACACCGTCAAAACCCGCCTGCAGAGCGGTACACTCGTCAAGGGCGGTCTCATGCGAGGCGTGTGGACCGGCCTGCTGCCCGCCATGCTCGCCTCGGCGCCGAGTGCTGGAGCCTTTTTCAGCAGCTATGACTGGTTCAGGGGCACTGTGGCGCCCGCTCTGCCGACTGCGATAAGGCCGTTCGGGAATGGCCTTGCCGCTGTGTGCGGCAACCTGGCGCAGAGCCTCGTCAGGACACCGTTCGAAGCCGTCAAACAGGTCGGTCGGTCCGTGTGACACCACACACAGTCATCCATCTGTGTGCAGGCCAGGCGTATGTGGGTGTTTGTCTGTCTGTGCCTTTGTGTGCATTCATTGTGCAGCGTCTGCAAGCTGGCGTGGATCCCACCATAGCGGCCTGCGTATCATCCCTCGTCAAGACCAAGGGCGTGACGGGGCTGTGGACGGGCCTGGGCGCTCTGATCCTGCGGGACCTGCCGTTCGACGCCATTCAGTACCCCATATACGAAGCCTTCAAGAAGGGCCTGGCCAGGGCGCAAGGCAAGGACACTCTCGACAACTGGCAGACATTCGCTTGCGGCAGCATGGCCGGAGGAATCACCGCAGGCGAGCGCGTCACTGGGGGCCGCACAACACATCGCATCGCATCACATCACATCGTCTGTGCGTGTATGTCTTGCCTGACTTGACTGATGCACACAGCGGTGACAACCCCACTCGATGTGGTCAAGACTCGGCTGATGACGGCCGCCCCCGGGCAGTACTCGGGGTTCCTCAACTGCGTGGCGTCCGTCACGGCCGAGGAGGGCCTCGCCGTCCTGTTCCAAGGCGTCGTGCCACGTGTGGTCATGATCAGCATCGGCGGCGCCGTCTTCTTCGGCGCCTACGAGACCACCAAGAAGCTCCTCGACAAACAGTTCCCACCAGCCAACTCAAAAGCACAAGCAGCGTCGCGTGTGGTCAGCCCAGAGGAGAGCATGGCACAGCTGGACAAGTATCGCACGACGGCTTTGGTGCTGCCTGACTCATCTGAGGCGAGGCTGGTGTTCGACGACAGCAAAGGCAAGGACAGGCAAGGAGCGGAGAGAGAGGGGGGCAGGGAGAGGGAGACGAGAGGCTGGCTGGGCTGAAGAAGGAAGGTGTCCCACCCGTGAAGTCTGTCTGTGCGCCTGTACTGGAGGGAGTGAGATGACTGACTGTATAGCTAGGAGGAGAGTTTGCTACTTACTTTCCAGGAGGGAGGTGTCCTTCCTTCTTGTGTCTATCCATCTCTACGTGAGTGACCTACCTGTGTGGTCACGTGTCCACCCACCTGTCACTCACCCTCTTCTGCCACGCGTGGCTACACGGGCGGGGGACAGACAGGTGTGTGGTTGATGAGCCCTAGCTTGCTGGCGAAGAAAGTAACAAAGAGCAGCTCGACTGACTTTTTGGGAGGGGTGAGGTGACTGACGGTACCTCACGATGATGGATGAACATGATCGAACGATAATTGAACGGAGCTTCAAAGGTGCACACGACAGCACATACAGGCAGGCACCGTGGCATGCATTGTCTTAACAACCAAGCAAGGCGGTCATTCTATGGTACACACACTGGCTGGCTGGCTGGCTGGGTAGCTACTCTTTCAAGTAGCATCCATCCGACGACTACACACGGAAGATGGATGGGATGGATGAGGGGGTGGGCAACACAACATGGATGGGTAAGGAAGCAAGTCGGGCTACGGAACGGCTTCTACAATACACTCACACTCAATCAACCCAACCACTCTGTGTGTGTGTAATCAACCACACCAGATACATACGACAACAGTGAGCAGGAGACAAAGCGGGTCGACAGACAGATGGCTGGCTAGACGTGTGTGTGTGTGTGCATGTGTGTATGTGTGTGTCCCTCAATCGTACGGACGCCTACTACAAGAAAACACCCCACACTAACCCGCCGCCGAGCTGCTGCTGGCTGAACTGCTCGCTGAGCTGGCGGATCCCTTGGCGCCCATGGCGATCTTGGACCAGCCCTGGTAGGCGTCATGCAGCACCAAAGCAACCTCTGGCCGCATCTGACGCCTGCACGCAACCAACACCACACACATGATGATCGGTGATGCGGTGTGTTACGCCATGGCTGGCTTGTGCGGAAGTGTCAAGCAACGTTGTGTGTGTGTTGCTGTGCTGTGCTGCGTACGTGAAGTTATGTATTTGGGTTTCCTCAACTTTGTGTCTGAGGATTTCGACCACTTTGAGGAAGGGCAGCCTGTCGTCGGTGAACTCTACCAGCACAGCACCGCTCACACTCCAACACCTGCACAGCACAGGCAAGGCATACACACACACACACATAGAGGGATGGAGAGACAGGGGGAGGTGTTGGGAAAGAGTCTCTCTTGCTCACTTGTGCAGGTGCAGCTGCCGGAGCCTCTTGAGATGCTCGCAACAGCTCCGGACCGCAGAATTCGACTGCAACACACACACAACAACACAACAGCGACGGACATTCGTTTCACAGACACCACACCCTCTTGTGTGCTCACGATTCGGGTGCCGTCGAGTCTGAGTTTCTGAAGGAAGGTGCAGCGCTGTGCGATTTGTTTGATGCCGTAGTCGCTGATGTGGTTGCACATACTCAGCGACAGCAGCACCAACTGCGGACAGCCGCGGCTCAACGCATCCAAACCTGAATTATATTTGACACACACAACTCGGCGGGGGGACCATTTGTGTGTGTGTGTGTGTGAGAAGGGGGTGATGTTAGTTACCTGCGTTGGTGATGTTGTCACATCTGTGGAGTGCCAGCTCTGTGAGCGAGTCGCCCAAATACTCCCCGACGGCACGCAGACTCCTGTCCGTTATCCTACACACACACATACGATGAGATGTCCTGTAGATGGATGGATGGATGGAAGAACTCATTTGTGTGTCTGAGTGTGTGTGATGTGATCTTTACACTTACTTGGCGTCGTTGAGCACGAGGCTGGTGATCTTGCGGCAGCTGTCAAACAGCCCCACCACACTCATGTCATTCACACCAGAACACGAACCCAGATTCAACGACACCAACTCCTGCATGGCCACACACACACACACACACGTACTTGTTCGTTCCATTGTCCTGGGAGTGCATCAGGTCAGGTGTTGTTTGTTCCTACGGGGCAGTGCTCAGCGAGTGTAGCGAGCCCCGCCTCGCTGACGCCCTTGCAACGCTTCAGCGACAGCCACTCCAGCTGACTTCCCTACACACGCACACACAAACAAACAAACAGATAAGAGATAGATGCATCCTATCCTACCCCTCTCCCCCAGTTGAGTGAGTCGCTGTGCCTGCCATGTGGTGGGTGATAGATACCAGTATAGTAGAGATGGAGAAGAGCGCCACATCACTCACAGCAGTGTTCTCTAACGACAGACGCCGCAGACCGGCAGCAGGGCCGCTGCCGACAGCCGCTACACGTAGCCGACCAGACGACCCCGATGCTGCCGCACTTGAGCTGCTGGTGGTAGTGGTGGTGGTGGTGGTTATCGAGATGGGGATTGGTGGCTGGCTGCCTCTGGGTGTGACTGAGGGACGCGATGAGCGTGGGGGCGCCGCTGATGTGAAGAGGGCCTCATGCAGACAGGCATCGCTCAAATTGGTGAAGCTGAACGAACACATCACACACACAGCCAACGGTGTGGTGGTTTGGCTTGTTGATTGACGATATGATTCCATGAGATACCCTACCCACCCGTCCAGCTGCAGCTCTTCCATGCTGCTTGGGAGGCCAGCAAAGGTTTGCATGAGGTCGACGTCGGTGGTGTGTGTGAAGGGGAGCGAGAATCCCCTGCACAGATGCAGCACCCGCAGCTTCCCGAACAGACGCTTCAGGTGAGACAGACCGCCGGCGGTCACCAACGGAGGGAACTGACACACACAGACAGACAGACAGACAGACAGACAAGACACATCACATCTATCCGTTCCTGTGTCCCCCTTCCTTCCCCCATGACATATATGGTATGTGTGTGTCTCACATTGAAATGCCGCCTGGCATTAGCCGGGTTTCCCCCATTGGCCGCGCACGCCGCCGCCCGTCTGGCTGCGGCCTGCCGCCGTCTGCCTCGACGGCTGCTGCCCGCGCTGCCAGCCGCCCCACCGCCCACACCGCTCCCTTCACAAGCACCCTGCTCGGCATTGTCTGCCGCAGCCTGGTGCGCCTCGATGAGCACTGTCGGCTGTACGTTGTCGATGAGCTTCAACGTGCTCAAGTTGCGGAAACGGAGAGCAATATACTGACACACACAGGGAGAGGGAGAGAGAGAGGGGCGGTGGTTGTGGCAGTGTTGCGTGTTTGTTGTACCTGGAGGAGCTCATCGTCGATGGGCATGCCGTTGAGTGATGTCCGCGTGTATGATAGCCCCTCAAGTGCACGCGACAGGTGAGAGGCGATCAGCTGCAGACACGGGCGGTCGATGTCCGTCACCGTCAACCTGACAGACACGCAAGACAAACAAACAAACAGGGATAGATAGATTGGTCTGTCCGTCCGTCCGTCCGTCCGCCAGTCAGTGTGTCGGCCATGCCGCTCACTGTCTGAGTGTGGGGTATGCTGTTTTGACGGCGGCTGTGACGATGGCTGTGGAGGGTGCCTTGAAGCCGAACTCAACGGACAGCGACTCGAGACGCGTCAGCGACTCACCCAGCCGAGACAACGACCTGACATATACACAGACACAAGAGGGAGGACCACCGCCCCCAGAGAAGAAGGTCAATTAAGTTGTTGTGAAGAAGGAGATTATCTATGCAGGGATCCATCCATCCATCCATCCATCGCAGGCAGGCAGCCATTGTGTCGTGTGTCGTAAATAGAGATAATAGTGTGTGTGTGTGACCTGACATGTGTTGTCACGGCGCCCTCCTTATGCCTCCCTCTTAAGGTCGGTGAACAGTTACCGCTCTGTCCCCGAGTCAGTCAGTCAGGCATTACCTGCCACACCAGAAGACAGGGCCCCGCCCGACCCGACCCAGCCCGACGCGCCACGCCATTATCCGGCCGGCCATATAAAACAGACGTCGATGGCATGGCAACAAGATCGGTCTCGGGCCACCTTGACAGTGCTGGACGGACGGGCGGCAGGCCGAACCGCCGAGCCCACCCCACGACACGACACGCGGCACGCAAGCCTGGCTGGCAGTGCAATGGGTGTAGGGCTCTCTCGGCTCACGCACTGACTTTCTCGTGAAGTGGTCCCCAAAGTACGTCATCGAGAGGTACGTCAGGTGCCCCCCGCACACAGACAGGGCTGGATTGCCCACATCACACCACACACCCAACGCCCAACAGGGACCCACACATATAGCTCAGCTGGCCTATTATCAAGTTCGTTCGTGTGCGGCGTTCATTTGTACCTGAGAGGAAGGTGTCCCTCTGGTGGTCCAGCCCCGCGAGCGTGAGGCGGCGGACGGCCGGCCGGTCAAGACACATCGCGCCCAGCTCTGTCGCACGGTTGCAGTCTACCTCTATGTCACTGGCGCGAGGACTGCACACAAACAGACATAGCTTCCTTGGCAAGAGTCACGCGCGATAGACCTCGTTCGTCATTCTGACCATCTGTCGAGCAGTTTACCGAGCTCCAGGTCCCTCGGCATGACCCGCGCTGCATAAGACACCACACATACGGACACACGGACACACAGACACACCCCACACGCACACAAACCAAACAGTGACAAGTCGTTCCCACCCCACGCCCTCCTCCCTTAGCTGGCTCACATCGCAGGTCGAGTTTGGTTTTGCCTCGGAAGACGAGGGCGGCATCGCGGCACCACGCCCTGCAAACAAACAAACCAACAAGACAGTCACGTCACTCCCATGGCCTCTGTGCGCTGTGTGTTTTCTCGGGGAAGGGACCTGCAGACTCTGCAGGCGTATCCCAGGTCGATATTGCAGAGGAACGACAGCAGCCACGCCGTCACATCGGACGGGAAGTCATTCAGACGCACACCCTCACTCGCCATCGAAAGAAAACTAACGCAACTCAATTTCTTCGCTCAGCGAACCCACCACTCTATAGCTGCAGCACTCCTCAGCGCAGCGTCGCCCTTCGGCAGGCAGCGGTTTCAGGCAGAACCCTAGGCAGATTTTGCGAGCTCAATGGCACTCCACCCGTCAATTTCGCCACAGGAGGGGGCGCACGGGGGATCTTGGGTGGGTATATTCTTTTGCTGGCTCGGCCGGCTTCCTTCCCCCCGTCGATCGCCATGGGACTGGGGTTGGGTAAGCTTACCCGCGGTCCGTCGGGATATGCGCCAGCCAACATGATCAGGGCCAGCGGCAAGACACACTTCGGACTCGTGCACTCGTACGTACGCTGCACACGCTACACACGGCCCGCCTGCACGAATGAAGCGAACGAACCTACATGCCTGTAAGTCTGTGCCATTCATTCCTTCAGGCCTTATGGGCGGATAATGACGTTCATGATGGCGGTGGGCTTGCTCTGTTCCTACGACTGGTCGGTAACGCTCTTCGGGGCTCATGAACCTCGCGGGCTCGGCAAGTGGCTCTACGGCGATGATTACCTCAACAGGAACGATGACAGGGTGTGATGTGATGTGATCTGTGTGTAGCACAGCACCGACACACACGAATGAATGTACTGCGCACACCGATGGATGGGGGGGTGGGGGGTGGTTTGAGTGAGGGAGTGACGTGACCCGGCCCGGCCAGTGAGTGAATAGAGCGAGTGCGGTGACGACACCATCGCACCCTGAATGAACTGATTGATGATGGATGGGCCATGTCATCGAATGAGCGGAGGGTGTCCCTCCTTGACGGCAGTGTGTGTATGTTAGGGGGCGGGCGGTAGTGTGTGCGGTGAGACAGACAGACAGATAGACAAAGGTTGGGGCCCACGTGGGCTTTGTGGTTGGTGTACACGACAGTCAGTATTTGTGCGCTTCGTCCAGTCAGTCCATTGCTATCCTTTGGATTGGACTCTCGACAGACAGCATCAATCAATGGTTTTCCTACAGTGTTGACCTGACTCGTTCAACTCGCACAACTCGCACAAACCAACCATCACCCGTACAAATCAACCAACATGGTCAAACCATGTGTATTGATTGCATGTGCGCCATTCACGTAGCTAGCTGCCAAGTAGCTAGCTACCTAGCTGCAGCCATAGATTTATACTACAAATTCTCTTCTGAACTCCGCAGCACCCACCCGTCGCCGCATCGCATCAGTGACGGTGTCCATGTCCATCAACACACACACACACACGCTCAGAGAGAGAGGAGAGGAAGGTTACTTCGTGTTTCATCCATCCATGTGCCTCAAGGTGAAGGATTCATTCATTTCATCACTGAGTCGACTGACACGGCCGATCGATCGATCAATGTCCCTCCCTGCCATTGTAACAAACATTTCATGAACCTACATGCTTCTGTCTGTACAGTGTCCCCACCACACAGCCCACAACCCCCCTTGTCTGTCTGTCTGTCTGTCTGTCTGTTTCACTCACTGCACACAGCCCGGCCCGGCCTGCTCCAACTGCCATACACAGGCGCTGCCACTGCACTGCACCCTCCGCTCGTTTCCGTTCGGTGTTCAAACAAGAGCTCAGAGTGCGATGGGTCATCACCGCGCTCTGTGCGCAGCCGGCACACCTCACGCAAACCACCAGAGGGACAACACCTTCGATGCAGCCAGCGCACTCACGACGCAGACAGAGTAATCTGCCCAGCCAGCACCGCCCGCAGGCATGTACACAGTACAGCTGCTCAACGTCTCCGTGATCGATAATAGGCGGTCGGCACGAAGTCCCCCAGTATGGGGCCCCTGCCAGTCTTCGGCTTGTCAGCCGTGTCGTGGTAGTAGCGGCACATCGACCCCCGATTGCACCGCCCTTCCAAGAAGAAACGGCACGGCTCGTCGCTCATCTCTCTCACATCATGACGCTCCTGACAGACAGATCAGGAGAGAGAAGAAGACACACAAGGGAGGCACGAATGACGGTCTGCACCACACTGATTGCACCCCCCCACTCCCCCACCTGGTCTCCGTGTGCGAGGGGGCATGACCTTCCCTTGCTGCACTCGCCCGTCTTCAGGAAAACGGGACACAGCTTGGTCTTGGGCACTGACACAGACGAACAGATAGATGGACACACAGAGAACGACGACAAATGAGAGGAAGGAAGGAGCGCGGCCTCTCTCTGTTGGACGTGCTTACAGTGCGTGGGGAGTCGCAGCTCGTCCTCGCCATGGGCGAAGTAGCAGTCCCGCCCATAGATGCAGCGATTCTTGGACCAATGGGGAGCCCAATACCTGACAGACAGACCAACGCAAACAACAGCAAGTCACCGACGGGACACTTCCTGCTCGTCATCCGTGCTCACTTGCAGAGCGCTGTTTTGCGTCCGAACCCCATCTCTGCTGCTTGCTGCCGTGGAGCAGGAGGAGGCTCCGAAGCGCCAGACACCGGGGGATCGTCCATGCCTGCAGACACAGCACACCCAAGCAGAGCAGCTGATGAAGTGAAGTGCATTCGGATCTTCTCCCAGCCCATGTGTGGTCTCACCACTGCTCTCGTCTCTGGCAGGCTCCTCTTGAACATCAGGAGCAGCTGATCCGTCTCGAACGTCGTCATGAGGCGTGTCAGGAGGCCGACCCTGCAGCCGTCGTTGCCTATCGCCCTCACTCTCCATCATGAACGGCTAACGCCACGACTGCAGCGCACAAGCCTGGATCTGTGGGCAGCAGTGGACTCCTCCTTCTCCCCCCTCTTGCATGCTTAGCTCGCAGGGAGCTCTCGTCCGTGTTGCACGTGCTGTGCTTGTGTGTCGTGCAGGTTTGTCGAGCGGCTTGGTCGTCCTGCATCTCAATATGGCCAGCTGCTTCCCCTGCGATGAGGAGATGGGGCGGCGCAGCTGTCTGTCGGCAAGCACAGGCAGACGTTGCAAGGCAATGGTTCATTCCGCCTCGGAGGGAACTCCGCCGTTCCGATCCATCCATGCAGCACTCTGCTTATCGGGACCTCGGTGTGGCATATTTAATGGGCCTTCCCCTACACACACCAGCAGCACGCAGCAGCCCTGGCGCAGAGGCAGCCGGCAGTAAGAAGCTCGTTGGCGAGCAGCGCCGCCAGATTTCGGTTATCCGGGATCCTGTGGTGAGGGGGTGCCTGCGTGGCTGTGAGGGCCTCATTGGCACAGACGAGATCTGCAGTATCTATCTGCAGTAGAGCAGCTACGAATGCACACACAGGGTGGGTGGATGCATGTGGCCGTCGGCGAGGCAGGCGCCGGCTGTCCTGTGCTGCCGCCTCAGGTCATGGAGGCCGAAGACTTTGATTCTGACGGCTACAGCTACGGTGCCCCTCCCCAGAACTACTACACCAATCAAGATGCACTGCCATACGCTCCGCCAGATAATGTCAACGGTCGGCGACTCAGCACTGTTATGTGCTGCGTGTCTGTCCATGGATTCTCTGTCTGTGTCTGTCTGTCTGTCTGTGCCTCTGTCTGTCTGTCTGTGTGTGCAGTTGTCGTGGCCAACACGCTCATTGCCGACTGGCAGAGGGCCACAGAGAAGCCGACCATCGTCTACATGACGCCAGACGGCACCTGGGTGGCTTACCAGCAGCGCTCTCACACCAAGCTGCCCCGCCACACGCCCGTCTGCCTGCGACTCAGAGGCCTTCCCCATTGGCCACAAGACACCGCAATCTACATCACACCCACACGGAGAGACGGCATGATGACAGACGAGCAGACGGCCGCCAGCCGCCAGCGCGGTGGCCGGGGCCGCGAGTTCGAGTACGACCAGATCGTTTTTGCGAAGGTCGGCCGACTCAGTGAGGACGAGAGCCATCCGACGGTGCGTGGCTGGTGGGGCGGCGAGCCTTTTTTCTTCCGCTATGCGCCCGACGAGACCATTGGGTCGGCGCGGCTGCGCAAGACGGTCAACCACTGTGTGTGCGGGATGCTCAACATGAAGCAGGACCACCACCAGACAAACCACCACAATGCAGCCAAGAAGGCCGAGGCCAAGAAACGACGCAGTGACAACAAAGTGAGGGAGGCAGGTCAGGTCGGGCAATTGATGGTGGGCATGTGTGTGTGTCGTGTGTATGATGGATGTCTCGGCTTGTGTGTCGTGTCAGGCGGCCAAGGCGGCCAAGGTTGTCAAACACACCAACCAGACAAGTGGGAGCACACCAATGCACCGCACGGTACAAAGCATCATCCCAATGTGTCTGTCTTGTTTGTACTGACTGCTGTGGGTGCAGTGCCGACAGCTTCCAATGGGGAATCATCGGCCGACAGCTTCGTCGACAACCTATTCAACACGCCGCTGCGATGATGATTTTGGTTTCCTTACGAGGAGTTGTGTGTGTCTACCTACGGAGAGGGCGTGTGCGTGTGCCTGTCTGTCTGTGTGAGTGTTTATGTGCGGTTTCGGTCCCACCCCTATCGATAGATGGAGCACTGAGAGAGTGAATGATGACCTCTCATTTTTTCACACATGTGTTGTGTTGTGCTGACTGTCATTAAATGTAACGAACGTCTGGTCTGTCCGTCCCGTCCACACAACACATTGCATTGCCCACACCAGACACCAGAAAGTCAAATATATTGAGAAATCACCAGCCGGGCCGGCCGGCACACCCAGCACCCATCCTCTCTCTGTTCATTTCGGCCTTGTACAGGTGTGTGTATTCTCTCGCCCACTTGCCTGTTCCGCCACCAATGTGCCGCCGACGAGTATGGTGCAACGGAGCGATGAACTGACATCGCACCGCTGGACCGATCTCTTCGACGGCATATTGCTGAGGGAGATGCAGCAAACGGATCGAGTAGTAGGGTAGGGTAAGGCAGGACCAACGCAACACACGTACAAACAAACAAACACATCCTTCACTGATTGGGAGCCAACCGGACCGGGCTAGGCTATCTACACACACACAGAGAGCAAGCAGGATGACCAAGACACACACACCATTGAGAGCCAACCGGACCGGACTGGGCTATGCTATCTACACACACATGCAGCATCGCATCATCATATTCACCTCAACAAATCCCATATATTCCATCCCAGAAAGCATTATATGATTCCATCATACATACAAACATACATACATACAATAGACACATAGACCGACCCACACACGGAAAAACTTTAAATCATGCATGCGTCAGGCAGGACGCTCACGCATTCAGATATGTCTAGAAAGAGAGCGTAACGACATACAGACAGACAGACAGACACGAACAGAGAGAGGATTCTCACGGGCATGGCGCCACGTGCGTGCATATGTGTGTATGTGAGCTCTCTTCTCTCTAGAAAGTGCATGGCATGGGGTGGAAGGACCCTCACCCTCTCACACCTCACACCTCACCTCTCTCTGCATATGTAGGGTATGTTTGTCTGGATACGTACAATGAAGCGAGCCAACTGCATACGGTAGCTCGATGCGTTCGTTGCAGGCCGGCATTGATTGCGTTGTACGCACACGTACGAACGTAGGCTTAGCTCTCCCCTCTCTCTGTGTCTGTCTGTGTGCAGGTACGTAGCTGGGTCGTGTCTGTCACGCGCCTTTGGCGGTGTTGGCGTCCTTGGCGGGAATGTTGTTGAGGACACTCTTGTGCACCGTCGAGCCCTCGGCTTGCCGATGCACCACCGACAAACCCGTAAACCTGCAGCACACACACACGCATCCGTCGCGTTTTCCTCCCCCTCTCTCTCTCTCTCTGTGTGTGTGTGTGTGTGTTTGTGTGTGTGTGTGCGCGCGACAACTCACCTGTATGTGTTTTCCACGAGCCGTCGGACGGCCTTGAGCAGAAATGTCTCCTTGAGGCCAGACAAACTGCACAGGCGCCGCGCCCACACCACCACAGCACACGGCAACACGTCACCCATCTGACTGTGTGTGTGTGTGCCTGTGTGTGTGATTGTGTGATGTACACACCGCAGGACAGTTTTGCCCAGTGGGATTTCGTCCACGTCATAGGTCATCAGGAAGAGATCCACCGGCTTCAAACGAGTCTGCCAACTGCACCCCCCACACCAAACACACCCACCACACCAACGACCCATGTGAGTGCTCAGCTCATTGTGGGTGTGTTGGGCAGCCAGCCTGGCCTGGCTGACGTCAGTCCTGGCATCCTGACTGACTGACCGGTTGGTGACTCCGCCGCTGAGGATGCGCCCGGTGGTGTCGGGGATGGTCGTGAACCTGTCGACAGCACATATATCACATCACATCACACACGACACAGCACACACACCACACCACACCACACCCTTGGCTGGCTGTACTCGGCACACCGATGACTGAGTGCGGTGGGTACCTACCTTTGCAGTGTGCGTGTGGCGTAGTCGATGAGGATCTGCGCCACTTTCTCGTCCTCCAACACGCCGTGCGCATGCTGAACATAACATCTATGCTATGGCTGGGTTGATCGATCTGGTGTGTTGGCACACAGACCAGACAGACCTTGATGACGTGTTTATCGTGTTGGTTGAGAATCATGAGCACTCTGGCCACCGCCCAGGCGTACACCTCTCGCTGCTTCTCCTCGGGCAGCGTCGCGCTCGTCAACAAATCGTGACTCCCTGCACATACCAACACACACAACACACACACATCATCGCGCGCGCGTGTGTGTCTGTGTGTGTGCCTGTGTGTGTGTGTGTGGTGTGGGTGTGCCTCTGGCTCACTTGGGTCGTCATCGCCATCCTGCTGGGCGTGGCACAGAGTCATAAAGGCCAACGTCGTGTGCATGCCTTCACACACACACACACACACACACAGAGACAGGCGCACAGTGTTTGTTCGCCGACCATTATATTATTACACAGGGCAACACAGACGGATACATACCGTTGACGATGGTGATCTTCCGATTTGCGAAGTATTGGGCCTCAGCCTCCACGAGTGGGAGCGAGAAGCATGACCCGCCGAATGCGGGTGCGTATGCGGGCGGGGTGGAGGGCGTCATGACCACTATGGCGCCGTCGTCGGGCTCTGTCGTCACAGATATCTGACACACACAGACACACATTCCATTCACACACGGAGGATGGGAGGGTAATTAAGGCGGCTTTTGTGTTGTGTGTGCTGTGTGTGTGTGTGTGTGTGTTTGTGTGTGTCCTTTACCTCTTCTGCCGTGACGTCCCTGCCGGTGCAGATGCGGTCGACCATGCAGTGCACCACATCCACATGATCGCGCAGCTGCTCGGTCAACGCATCAACTAAACACCACACACACACACACACATACACACATCAATCAGCTCCCCACCCACCTCACCCACCCGCTTTGTGGTCATTCTCGCACGCAAACAGCGTCGGCTTCAACCCTCCACTGTCGGCCTCTCGTGTTTGTCCGCTGTAGGCCTCGTCGATCTTGGTGCCGATCTGCCCGATGGCCGGTCCGAGTGCGGTGGAGTACGATGTGGCCATGCAGATGAGCTGGGCGATCTTGGCGTCCTCGTCGGACACCACGAAGAGCCGGAGAGGCGGCGCGTCGGGGGGAGGGAGGGGGGGCAGGGGGTCGCCAGAACGGAGGCTGGAGAGGAGAGAGAAGTGGGCAGGGAGGGAGGATGGGATGGTCCATGTGTGTGTTGTGTGTTGGTTGGTTGCTTACACGGTCATGGATGTGACGTGAGTGCCGTTGACTTTGATGTTAACAGTCGATGCGGAGCCCTCGATGATCCTCTGCCTGTACCGCACCCACGCACCCACACACCCGACCCAACCCTCCTAACACATGATCTGGTCCGTTCTTGTCGTCTGCTTCTCGTCTCCCTCTCGGGTAGGTACCAGCTGGTGAGCCGCTCGTTGATGATGGCGAATGACTTGTTGCTCGCCACCATCGACGGCACCACCAAACCGAGGCCCAACTTGCCAGCACCGAACTGACGACAATCAGAAAAGAGAGAGAGAGAGCAAACACCCACACACACACAAACACGGACAGATGTGCCGTGTGCAGCGCAGCGTGGTGTTTTCTGCTCTGCCGGCCCACCCACATGGACGTGGAATTTGGTGGGTCTGAATCCGCGGCCCTGCAGTCGGTCGCGGAAGCCCCCGTCGGTGACGATGAGCGACTTGTCCTTCTCGTAGTTGCTGGCGCCCTTGAGGCTCTCAGACCCCGCCAGGATGAGCTGCCGCAGCTGGGAGACCGGCAGCAGCGCCAAGTGCTGGCTGGTGATGTTCTTGGTCACTGACACACACACACACACACTCAGATCCGTGTGTGTGCATGTGGTCAATCAACACGTGTGTGTGTACCATCGGAGAGCTCCCTCTGTGCGCCCTTGGACTGTCCCCTGCGGAAGTTCCGATAGTCCGAGCGAAACCGGTCCAAGTCCTGACAGACAGACAAATGAATGCAATGCACGGCAGCCACACTCACTTACGTCGTACACACGGCAGGCACCAGCCATGCATCCCAGCCATCCATCAGCCCATCCTATTCCATCGGCTGCTTACCGATATGAAGGACGATATCTTGAGCATCTCGGTGTCCTCCATGAGGTAGGACTGGCCGCCTGGGCTGGCACCCCCGGGGCTCTCGCCCGAGTCGACGTGAATGATCTTGTCGGGCAGGTCCCGGCCGGCCGACTGGTGCTGCAGATTGATGTAGCTCGACTGACGGGCCACATCGGCAGTCTCGCCTGCCGCGCCCTTGGCGTAGCCCCGACGCTGCGTTTCATGAGCAAACACACACCACACACACGCAGGCGGACCTGAGGCGGTTGACTGCAAGAGGTGCGGGCCGTTTCCTTCTTCTCTCAAGTGACGTGAAGGCTTACGAAGTTGCGGTAGTTCATTCTGTAGACGGTAAAGGCGTCGCCGCCGAGGAAGGGCCGGAAGGGGAGGGCCAGCTCGTAGGCCTCGCTCCGGTTGCTCGGCATGTCTATTCTCATGATCAGCTCCTTTGCAGGTGCAGAGATCTGGACGAGATGTGTGAGCCAAAAAACGGCGCGAGCTTGCTGACGAGATCGCTTTCCCTCGAGTGTGAGTGATTTGGCATTTGGCACGGCAGTGTCCGCGTCCTTCGGCTGCCCAGCAGCTCCTGCAATCCCATCAGCATCATCTCCCATCCACCGCCCTCGGCGTGTGTGGATGCATCTCGCCGCATCGCAGCCGACACCCACCGCTCGTCGTAGTCTGCCGTAGCACGTTGGTAGCCGCATGGCGTCGTCCGTGAGGCACTCGGACAGCGGGTCGGAGGACGGCGAACGGGAGTACTCGTCGCATGTGGCGTCGCGCGACCAAAGGGCCGGTCAGCGGCAGATTGCCGCGTGCACCGACCTGCAGCTGGTCGGCAGGCACAGCAAAGCGGAGCTGGGCGACAAGGCAGGAAGGGAGCGGTGCCACCATGCTGACGAGGTCTGGGACGAGGAGCTCACCTTTGCGTGGGAGCACAACCGAGAGAACCACGACAGGCTCGGCTACTACCTTAAGGTCTCACGCGTCAAGGTGCGCACACAGGCACACACGAACACACGGACATGCACCCACACATCGATAGGGAGACAGACGCACGCCTATGTGTGTGTGTGTGTGTGTGGTTGTGTGTGCAGGTCTCCCCGTCTGCCAACTCGTCCACATCCACCCTAGAGTCCACCTCTGCTCCCTCCGCCCAGCAGTCGCAGTCCCAGCGCGACACGGTCTTCGAAGTGCTGGCGGGCCATTGGGACCGGGAGGATGGCAAGTACTTGGACATGCTGGACGACGAGTCATACGGCGGCTCCGAGAGTGAGAGTGAGGACGACGAGGGCGAGGAGGGGCGGTCCGGGGAGGGGGAGGGCGGCTTAGAGGCCACCGAGGGGACGGGCCGCCGGCAGAGGCTCAAGAATCGGAAACCGATGACCTGCACTGTCAGGCTGAGGGCAGGTGAGCGGCTAAGTGCACTTCCTGGCTGGGCGGACCTGGTGGGCTGAGTGAGTGGGGAAATGAATGGGAATTTTTCCGTCTGTCTGTCTGCCTGTCTGTGTGGTGTGTATGGCTGTTTGTGGTTGGGTTATGTGTCCCGTCCCCCAGGGATCTACTACGTAGCTGTGCTGGCGTACGAGGTTGACGACGAGGACAAGCAGCACGTGCAGGGCCAGGAGGGGGAGGGCCTAGATGTCCAGGTAAGCACATCCAGCACATATATTGGCCATCATGCCATCCACACACGCGCGCACAGCACAGCACAGAGACCGAGGGAGGGAGGGAGGGAGAGAGCGTGGCGTGGAATGGAACCCTGTGTACCAATCCGTCCGTCTGTGTGTGGTGTGTGTCAGGTGTTTGAGTCTGGCGGCAAGAAGGCCAAGAAGAACGGCAAAAACAAGGAGGACAAGCAACGCAAGGTCTGCACCACACCACACCACAACACAACACAGCACAACACAACACAACCACAACCACAACCACAACCACCACCACAAACACAACCACCACCACTAAATCTCTCTCCCTCTCTCCATGTGTGTGTGTATGTCAGAATGAGAAGCAGATCCGCAAGAAAGCGACCGGGTGGCTGACCAGGGTCAACAAGCACCTGGAGGAGATCTCGCTCCTCCTGCCCAAAGAGTATCGCCGCTTCAACCTCCGTGACCCGCAGGAAACGGCCTGGAGGCTGTCCCAGAAGGTCATCAACGATAGCAAGCAGCCACAGTCGTCCAGTGCCAAGAGCCGCACCGAGCAGTTGCAGGAGATGCTCGACCAGCTGGGGGTGCTGGCCAAGGAGGAGGTCAAGCTGGAGGGCAGTGCGGTCGTCAAAATGGCCGACGCGCTCACCGAAGACGAAAGGAAAAAGGTGAAAAGTGGTCTCTGTGTGGGTGGTGTGGCGTCCATCCAACGTGAATGAGCCCATGGATGGATGGATTGTGTGTCAGACCCAACTGGAGGAGTGGCTGGAGTTCTGGCACGGTGTGCTGGAAATGGTGGACGGCTACCGGCAGTGGCGGGAGCAGATCGAGCAGCACATGGTCGAGCTCGTCAGGCCCGACGGCGACAGCGACAGCCCCTGCAGCACACTGGAGCTCTTCTTCTCGACTGCTGACGAGGAGGGGCCCACCAGAGACGACCTCGAGCGCATGGACGACAGAGTCAAAAAACTACTTTTCGAGGTATGTATGTCAGCAGCGAGACAGAGAGAGAGAGAGAGAGAGAGGGAGAGGGAGGGAGGGAGGCAGGCAGGCAGCGAAAAACAGACAGACGCACGCACACACACACAGAGAGAGAGAGAGAGAGAGAGAGGGGCACATTTCGACCCTCTCTGTGTGTATCTCTCTCCGTCTGTGTGCCCGTGTGATGGGTTGTTCGTTCGTTGGGTCAGAACCTGAAAGGTCTGTCGAAGAGGAAGGAGGTCGAGGTCCTGAAGGCCCGCCCCGTCACGCCCTTCCGCAAGGAGCGCCTCCAGCGCACTTTCCGCGTCGCGCGGGGACTCCACCCACTCCAGCCCGAGGACCCTTTGGCTGAAGATAGCCGTAAGACACACACACCACACACCACACACCACATGAGGACCTTCCTATGTGTGTACTGTCGTGTGGGGTGGTGGGTTTGCGTATGGCTGCAGTGCGTGAGAACTTCGTGGAGTGGTTGCCGCAGGAGCGTCTGGAGGCGTTGCGTGACGAGCAGGCCATCTACGACGCCATACGGACGACCAAGGACGAGGAGGAGCTCCGCAAGAAGCAAAAGGAGGAAAAAGAGCGCAGGAGACAGGAACAACAGCAGCAGCAGCAGCAGCAAAACAACCCAAACAACAACCAAGACCAGGTAGATTAGATCAGCCTGGCACCATGCCCCCCCCCCCCC